CATGGTCGTATAAAGAAATGCCCGGATTGGACCCAAAAGTGGCAATACATCATCTCTCCGTGAAGAAAGGAGCTCGCCCTGTGAAGCAAGGCCAACGTAGATTTAGACCTGAATTAGTACCTGCAATTGAGGCTGAAGTGAATAAACTTATTGAGGTTGGTTTCATTCGAGAAGTCAAGTACCCAACATGGATTTCAAGTATTGTCCCTGTCAGAAAGAAGAATGGACAAATTCGTGTGTGTGTTGACTTTAGAGATTTGAACGAAGCATGCCCTAAGGACGACTTTCCAATGCCAATAGCCGAACTAATGATTGATGCCACTACGGGCCATGAAGCATTATCGTTTATGGATGGGTCGTCCGGATACAATCAAATACGAATGGCGCCGAAAGACGAAGAATTAAAAGCCTTTCGCACCCCTAAGGGCATCTATTGCTATAAAGTGATGCCGTTTGGCTTGAAAAATGCTGGTGCTACATACCAAAGAGCCATGCAGAAAATATTCGATGACATGCTCCATAAAGATGTTGAATGTTATGTGGATGACTTGGTGGTTAAATCCAAAAGAAGGGAAGATCATCTCCAAAATTTGAGAAAAGTCTTCGAGCGCTTGAGAAGGTACCAATTGAAGATGAATCCGTTGAAATGTGCATTTGGTGTTACTTCGGGGAAGTTTCTTGGATTCGAAGTTTGTCACCGAGGCATAGAAATCGAACAAGCCAAGATTGATGCAATTTTAAAAATTCGCGAGCCTAGAAACATTCATGAGCTCAAAAGTTTGCAAGGAAAGTTAGCATACCTAAGAAGGTTCATTTCAAGCTTAGCCGGTCGATGTCAACCATTCAGCCGACTTATGAAGAAAGATGTTCCCTTTGAATGGGATGAAGCTTGCACTAGTGCCTTCGAAAGCATAAAATCGTATTTAACGAAGCCTCCTGTGTTGATTGCACCAGTGCCCGGACGATCGTTAATACTCTATATTGCTGCTCAAGAACGATCTGTCGGAGCTTTACTAGCGCAGGAGAATGATGATGGAAAAGAGAGCGCCTTATACTACTTGAGTAGAACGATGACACCAAATGAATTGAACTATTCGCCAATCGAAAAGACATGCTTAACGCTCATTTTTGCAATTCAAAAGTTGAAGCATTATTTTCAAGCTCATGTTGTCCGCCTAATCTCAAGGATGAATCCTCTAAAGTACGTCATGTCAAAACCCGTCCTATCCGACAGACTTGCAAGGTGGTACCTGCAATTGCAGCAGTTTGACATAACATATATTCCACAAAAGGCTGTGAAAGGACAAGTTCTAGCCGATTTCTTGGCGGATCACCCTATCCCTGCAGAGTGGGAGTTATCCGATGATCTACCCGATGAAGATGTTCTTATGATTGAAGCTAGTCCTCCTTGGAAGATGTATTTTGATGGAGCTTCTCACAGAGAAGGAGCGGGCGCCGGAGTAGTATTCGTCACATCCAACGGCGAAGTGTTGCCTCACTCGTTTACATTAACACAAAATTGCTCTAACAATTTTGTTGAATATCAAGCTCTTATCCTTGGGCTAGAAATGGCAGTTGATATAAAACAACTAAATTTGGAGGTATATGGAGACTCCAAGTTGGTGATCAATCAGATACTCGGATCATACGAAGTAAAGAAGCTCGATTTACTCCCTTATGTGGATTACGCTAAAAAACTTATCGGATACCTTGGTGATGTGACGATAGAACATGTGCCTAGAAAGGATAACAAACAAGCGGATGCATTGGCAAAACTTGCTTCTACTTTAGCCATGCCCGAAGACGGAGCTCATATATCAATTTTCAAGAGGTGGGTCGTACCATCAATCTTTGAACATGGAGAAATTGAAGAAGACGAAACTCGAGTGGTTTACGTGTTTGAAATCGAGAAAGAAGATTGGCGTCAATCATTTGTGGATTACTTGAAGTACGAAAAGTTGCCTAATGATCCACGTCAAAGAGTTGATATTCGACGTCGTGCGGCTCGTTTCATCTACTACAAAGAAACACTTTACAGACGTTCATTTGATGGAGTCTTCTTGAGATGTTTAGGTGATGACGAAGCCATTCAAGCCATAGAAGAAGCTCATTCCGGAATTTGCGGCGCCCATCAGTCAGGACCCAAGTTACATTTCCAAATAAAAAGAATGGGCTATTATTGGCCATCTATGGTGAAGGACTGCATGGAGTATGCGCAAAAATGCCAACCTTGTCAATTTCATGCAAACTTTATTCATCAACAGCCGGAGCCATTGCACCCTACTGTTGCCTCATGGCCCTTTGATGCTTGGGGTTTGGATGTGGTTGGACCTATGACAAAGTCTTCCGCTAGACATCTCTATATCTTGGCAGCAACAGACTACTTTTCCAAATGGGCTGAAGCAGTGCCTCTTCGAGAAGTAAAGAAGGAGAACGTTGCTGATTTCATCCGCATCAACATCATCTACCGTTACGGAGTTCCTCGATATGTGATCACAGACAACGGAAAGCCATTCTGCAACGGTGTGATAGATAAACTTTGTGAAAAGTTTGGATTCAAGCAAAGAAAGTCTTCAATGTACAACGCTGCCGCCAATGGACTCGCCGAGGCCTTCAACAAGACTTTATGTAATTTGCTGAAGAAAGTGATCGCCAAGTCAAAACGCGATTGGCACGAAAGGATGGGAGAAGCTTTATGGGCCTATAGAACAACGTATAGAACACCTACTCAAGCCACTCCATATGCGTTGGTGTACGGTGTGGAAGCAGTTTTGCCTCTTGAAAAACAAATTCCATCATTGAGGATAGCTATACAAGAAGAACTCACTCAAGAAGAAAATGCCCGTTTGCGTCTTGCAGAATTGGAAGCTCTTGACGAGAAAAGATTAGAGGCACAACAAAGTATTGAATGCTACCAAGCTCGTCTTTCTAGGGCGTTTAACAAGAAGGTGCGGCCAAGATCGTTTCAAGTTGGAGATTTGGTACTTGCCGTAAGGAGGCCCATCATCGTCACTCACAAAACGGGGAATAAATTTACTTCAAAGTGGGATGGTCCTTATGTCGTCAAAGAAGCATACACAAATGGAGCGTACAAGTTGGTTGCCGAAGATGGTTTACGAATTGGCCCGATAAATGGAAAGTTCTTGAAGCGGTACTATGCATGAAGCGGAGGAGAAGGCTCCTGGCCCGCATGAGTTGAAACTGTGCACGGCTATATAAAAAAAAAAAAAAAAAAAATCAATCTTTTTTCCTTTGAACTACGTTATGACTTGATCTCATTCGGGGTACGTAAGCAGCTTAGATATTCTCTAAGTTCAGTCCTTTCCTAAAAAAAAAAATCTATCTTTTTTTCCTTTGAACTACGTTATGACTTGATCCCATTCGGGGTACGTAGGCAGCTTAGATATTCTCTAAGTTCAGTCCTTTCCTAAAAAAAAAAAATTCTATCTTTTTTCATTTGAACTACGTTATGACTTGATCCCATTCGGGGTACGTAGGCAGCTTAGATATTCTCTAAGTTCAGTCCTTTCCTAAAAAAAAATCTATCTTTTTTTCCTTTGAACTACGTTATGACTTGATCCCATTCGGGGTACGTAGGCAGCTTAGATATTCTCTAAGTTCAATCCTTTCCTAAAAAAAAAAAAAAAAAAAAAAAGAAAAAAATTCTATCTTTTTTTTCTTTGAACTACGTTATGACTTGATCCCATTCGGGGTACGTAGGCAGCTTAGATATTCTCTAAGTTCAGTCCTTTCCTAAAAAAAAAAAAAAAAATTCTATCTTTTTTTTCTTTGAACTACGTTATGACTCTTGATCCCATTCGGGGTACGTAGGCAGCTTAGATATTCTCTAAGTTCAGTCCTTTCCTAAAAAAAAAAAAAATCTATCTTTTTTTCATTTGAACTACGTTATGACTTGATCCCGTTCGGGGTACGTAGGCAGCTTAGATATTCTCTAAGTTCAGTCCTTTCCTAAAAAAAAATCTATCTTTTTTTCCTTTGAACTACGTTATGACTTGATCCCACTCGGGGTACGTAGGCAGCTTAGATATTCTCTAAGTTCAGTCCTTTCCTAAAAAAAAAAAAAAAAAAAAAAAAAGAGAATCGTTGAAGAATATAAGGGGAGCACGATGGAAAAGGAGAATTTTTTTTTATTTCATGAATCATAAAAGTGAAATAAACAATAAAGAAAAAAAAGAAAAAAAAAATCATCTAAATCTAGCTCAAGCAAAATGGTCTAAATCGTTCAACTTTTCTTTGGCATCTTCTAAAAGCTCGGCAGAAGCGCGCAATTCGTCTACCAAATCATCACTTAAAGGGGATGTATTTTCAATGGCAGCAATCTCTTCGTTAATCTCACGAATTTCTATTTTAACAGTATCAAGGAGTTCTCGTTGTCGTTTTAATGATGATCTCAACTGTCCCACCCTCACCTTCAAAGTAGCACGCTCTTTCTTGACACTCTCCAAATCATTATTGGTGGATTGAAATTGAAGAGTCTCTTTGCGTTCTCTAGCTTGAGTATTATGCAAACGATCTTTAGCCTCATCTAATTGTCGTGCTAGAATCTCTTTAGATGCCTTCTCAGTGTTCGACGATCTCACCTTATCATAAGCCGTCGCCTGGGAAAATAATGACTTCAATAATTCCTCTATGCAAGATATGTCAAAATCACCAAGATCCCTCATGGTTCCAAGAACTAATTGGACATCTTCTTGAATAGACGAAATGGAATCAATTGAAGTCCGTACTATCCTCGCACGAAGATCTTGCCATAATTGGCGAAGAAAAACCCGCTTGTGATTTTTCAGGAAATTCTCACCCACAAAAACTGAACAAGCACCATTGTACGGCCCTTTCGCGGTCTCTTTCATCTTGGATGTTCTGGCAGGCATCAAAGTAGTCGGCGGCGAAGCTGCACCCGTTGAGCAAGCATTGGCAGTGGAGTGATGACTAGCTTGAGATTCCTCGCGATTGTCAACGTCAATTATCTCCTTTTCCAACTAAAAAAAAAAAAAAAAAAAGGGAAAAGTGTGAAGTGCAACCTTCTCAGCAAAAGTGTCATTTGTTCGAGAATGACTGTCCACGTTGTTATCAATATGAAGATCTTGTGGTTTTGAAGATTGCGGGTCCCTCTTCGGCCTTTTCCAATGACGCTCTATATGGCTATTGTCACTCTCATCCGAAGGAGGCAAAACGTTCTTCTTCTTTATATCTCTAGGAGGATTTTTGGTTTGGAGAACATTTTCGCTATCTCTAGGAGGATTTTTGGTTTGGAGAACATTTTCGCGAGAAAGATTGTCGAGACTACCTCTTGCCTCGTCTTCTTTGTCTTCAAGTGGAATCTTACTTAACTCCAAGTTCATCAGACTCGCAGCTTTATTTTCAAGATAAGTTCCGTAAGCTTTAGTCCACCATATCTTATAGTCGTCCGTGTGAAACTTTCTCGGATTTTGAGGAACGATGGAAAACATCACTTTAGACATGGACTCGAGCAAAACACATAGACGCCAATAACGGAGTCCGTCTATTAAAGAAGCCTCGCGAACATCTTCATCAAGTACTCCGGGCACATCTTGGTAATAACCAAATTGACGACTAAATCGATGAGGACTATAGGGCTCAATAACGAAACGATTACCACGCCGCAAGGAGAGATAGCTCGAGCGAATGGCGATGAAATAATTTCTCTCTGACCCTTTTGTTGTTCCATCATCAACATATAAAGAAGACTCGCTCCTAGGGATCGTGGTACAGGTCCAAGACATAAGATCTCCTTTGTGAATCCGTTTGCGTGCATCCGCAGGGGTGTAGTATCTAGCGCTTCCTTCTCCGGAATAAGATATCATCTTTGGGCCATCTACGGCTACACCTTGCAGAACTTGACAATGGGTCTTGAAATAAAGCGCCAACCAACAATAGACGAAGTGAATAGGAAACAGAGAGTTCTCTTTATGGGGTCTCAAGGATCTCGAGATCCTATTTATGCCGTTGAAGATACTGGCTAAGACAGGAACTGCAAGAGAGACTTCTTCGCCACTCGCCATTATGCTAGCCATCTTGAATGTTGAAGGACGTATCATGCCCACATCATCAGTAGGGAGGACGAAGGTGCAAAGCCAACAAGCCAAATGGGCCGCCAAGTACGTCTCGGACCTCAGTTCGACATCAACGCTAATGCTCGAAAACACAGCTTCTTCAATGTTGATCCATTTTGCATGTGCTTCAATATTGCCGGAAGGATTGTGAGTTGACTTGGGGCGAACACTTTTCTTTTCTTTGCGCGGAGGAGGTTGAGTGTACTTCTTCTGCTTCTTCGACCAAAACTGAATCCAGCTTTCGACAGAGACATTGGAGGACGGATCTTTAGAACGCTTCCGAAGTAAGTGGTAGGCATGGAACAGATATCGACGGAACGGTGAGAATACCGAACACCCTTTGCATCGGAGCCGACGAGTTCTTGAGAGGCACGGACAACTTCATCGTAAAGCAGCCCGGTTAACGATAGCCCGGAGAGGATGTGCAAATCCCATAAAGAGATAGACATTTCTCTGGGAGACGTCAAGAGGGTATTTGTAGTCGGACACCATGCCTCGAAGAACGCCTTCATAACTTCGGAATTGTAGTCGTACGTGAAGAGGGAAGCATATACAGGATCATAGATCTTCGCGGACTTTAGCTTGTGCTGGCAACGACTGAGAACGTCTTCGGTCCACTCCTTGTACCCTTTGAAGAATTGAAAGCCGCCGGAAAGCTCGAGAGTATCTCCCCACTTGACTTTTCCCTTCATGATGTTGTCACCCAAAGTCGGCAGAAGGCTCGGACCGCTTGACTCTTCCGGAAGCAAGGATCTGTCGGGTTTATGATTTGCTATACACGTACTCGTACTTATTATGAGGATGCTCGTGGGACCAAACGGACATGCGATTCGGAGTCGTGAGACGTGGCCATTGCTTTGCGTAAGAACCAGTAAGGGGGGCATAAATCGTCAAGATGGTTCCTTTGTCATTCGGTTGATAACGATTGTCAAGAATTACCAATTGCTCGTCGCCAAAAGAAGAGAAAGCTTGCTTGAAACAAACCATCGGAAAAATCTATCAAAACAGATCAAAGAAAGAGCGATTAGTCCGACGTGCAAAAAAAAAATAATAATAATAAAAGGATAGTCTCGATCGATGAAACTGACTTGGAATCGATCAAGATGAACTAGCAAAACCCGAATTTAAGTCAAAAAGCAAACATACCGTTTATTATTGTTGAAATAAAAGAAATAATCTCTCTGCTCATAGAAATTGGTTATGCACAAAATTATTATACAGAACGAACCTGGAGTCGAGTAAAAAGGGAGAATAAATAACGAATAGGGAAAACAACGCAGTAGCAGGCAAGAGAATAACTTCGGCGGTTATTGCTGTGGTGAAGTTGTGAAAAAAAAATCGGGGGTCTCTCTATTTTTATAGGCGTCAAGTAAACAGTCCAATGCGAATTAGACTTTTGAACAGCCAATCGCGGAAGAATCACAAACGGAATCAAACATGGATTGCTAGTTACCATCTGATTGAAAATTACGATTCCAAGGAGAGAGAGAGTCCAAGTAGAGAAAGACTCTCCTGCCTCGCACGGAAATCGAGTTGCAATTGAAGTTGCATTAAAAAAAAATCTGATTTTTATGTGGGCCCTGCTCTTAATACTTGTTTGAGAATAAGTATGCACGTCTGTCTCACGTGCAATTCAAGTTTGAAGTTTGAGGAATAGTTGGGCCAAATTGATTAAAGGAAGATTGGGCTCAAAATTTTTATTGGTTTATATCATCAATTAGCCTGGACCAAGAATCGAATGAATGATTATATATATATATATATATATATATATATATATATATATATATATATATATATATATATATATATATAAAATAAATTTTATCCAAAATAAAGGGGCAATTATGCAATTATGGGGACAAGGAGTTTTATGCAAATTCAATGGCAGTTCCGTAATTAGATATTTGAATATACATCAAATCAAATTATATGCCATGAAAAGTGGCGTATATTAATATTTGTCTATTTTAATTTTAGGGATTTAATATTGATTCCTAAATTAAATAGATAATTGATTTTAAATATATATATTGACCAATAAGATTATTTCTTCTCCCCTAAGTTATAAAGAGATAAATATCTATTAATTATTGGCCAATAGAATTGTTTCTTCTCTTCCAAGTTACAAGAGATAAATATCAATTTAAATCGGGCCAATCAAATCGCGCCACATCATCAGTAAGGCCCATCAAGGACTCTTATTCTACCACTATAAATAGGGATCCTCCCTTCACAATTCAAAACAAAACTGAAGGAGCAGAAACCGTAGGAGCAAAATTCTCTCTACAATTCAAGAAGCAAAGAAGAAGAATTCGTAGGAGGTAAGATTCTCTCTCTACATTCAAAGTGTTCTTCGTCAAATTCGAGGTGTTCTTGAGCAAATTCAAGGCGTTCTTCATCAAATCCAGCGTTCGATCCGAGATAACGGTGCCAAACCTTTGGATTAACGTTAATCAATTCAAGTCAAGATCATTGGAAGATTGAAGGGCCAAATCCATCAAGAACTTCAAGATCTTCAAGTCAAAGTTAGTCAAAGTTCAACGTTCGATCCGAAATTCAAGTCGCGAGACCCTCGGAAAACGTTATTCAAATCCAAAATCAAATCCGGAGAAGATCAAGTCAACGACCCGACTCCGAAAATTCAAGTCAACTATATATTGTTCTAGAGAGAAGAATCAGAGGATTAAAATAGAGATTGTAACTCGCAATTTATTTATTTTAATTCAATAAAATCATCTTTGTTCAATTTTTCTTGTTTGTTTATATCGCAGATAAGAATTTGTTGTTACACCAAGATACAACTCCGATCATATGAGTTTTCTTCCACAGATCTTCGTAGATTTCGAATGTGCTATGCATAAAATAATCACGATGTCCGCAACTATTTCATACATAAAGACAAACACAAAACAATTCAATAAAAATTCAAATCAGAACACACAATAATATCCAAAATATGTAATAACATCAACAAATTGCTGATTTTCTATTTAAACAAACGCAAGACTCAAATCACAAAATTATTCAACAAATAAGACGTGATAGAAATCGAATCATACTGTAATTTGACAATTGAATCAAGACAACAACATCATAACAATTAATCTAAAAAATCAATCAGTTTGCAAAATAAAAATAATTATATAATGACGGAATTTGACAGACAAACCTAAATTATAATCTCGTTTGCTTCGATCCGGATCTCGCCGTCACCGGTGTTACACCGTCATGAAGGCTAAGAGGTCGTCGACGTCGGATCAGAGTCATGTGACGATTGAAGTTGTTCCCAAAAAACGGCGGAGAAATGGATTGGAGAAGAAGCTTCGTCATCTTCTTCATAATTGCCCTTGACCATGAGATTCGCAGATAAAAAGGCTATTGGGAGAGAAGTAGAGGGATGAAAAAAAATATAGAAGATCGTGAGGCGAGGGTGGGGGAGAGGTTGCGTGGCGGAGGTGCAGATCTGTGGCGAGGGAGAGAAAAAGAGAGAGATGGGGCTGGTGAAGAAAAGTGAGGGGAAAAATATGGTTTAATGATAATTAAGGGTAATATAGAGATATCCCTAAAATTCGAATTTATGGTAAATTAAAATATATAACGAGGGGGTTTTCACTAATATGTAAAATGATCTTATATCCATCATAATATAACTAAATGTATTGGGGGGGTTTCACTAATAATCCTTTTTTTGTACTTTCGTCGTATATTCAATTCAATTTTGTACAAAGTGGACGGTTACATTTTTTTATTGAGAAAACAGTATTTTAAAAAACAACTATCAAAATAGGAAAATGACTAAAACACCCCTAGATTTAGGTTTAGGGTTATAGGTCAAAATATCTTCCTTTTATATATAAGTTATAATTAAACCCTAGCGAGGTTTAATTTGCTCAGGGAGGAATGGGAACAAAACCCTATGTGTTGGCGTTTGGCGCTCTAAACAAAATTGAATACCTTGGAGGATCTAATTGTAATTTAAACGGTGTCGTTTCAAATCTTAAGAGTTCATCCTAAACCCTTGGGAGGATCTAATTGTAATTTAAAAACTATTTTATCACCCCAAACCCCAAATCGACCTACATCCTAAAACCAGCACCGTCGGGATTTATTTTTTCTCTACCGTCTTGTATTTTGGTATGTTCGCTCATCTCTGTATTCTCGAATTCTCGAATAAAGTTGGGTTTTCTAAGTGTTGATTGATGTATAACAGGGTTTGATGTGAATTCAATTCTTTTAACGAAGAAAACACGGTTGACTGACCGAGTTCTACGTTCAACGTTGTCTTTGCCTGCCGTTTTCATATATCGTCTACTTTGGAAAAATCGTCAAAATCGTCGACTTTGATCTTCTTATCCGTCTTAATACTGAAAGTGAAGGAGTACCTATATATCTCGATCAGAGCGGAAACGGGTTTCATCCGATCTCACATAACAATGTTCCATGCGTTATTAGTTATTAACACCAATGAGGACAAAGGATTCCCTTGCTTTATCGATACATGGATTCTCGAGAGATCTTCCTTTTATGGATAGTGGTCTTTGGTGGATGGATATGCTTTTGGGCCGACATGTGTATCGAACACAATCGGAGACAAAATTGCTTACAGCAACAGATAAATAAATATGATGTGAAGCTTCTCAAAGTTACACTACTAGAAAACTGCCATTTAGCAACGGACATATCTGTGGCTAAATACCATTAATCTGTTGCTATTTGGAATTTAGCGACGGAAATGCTCCGTTGCTATGTCCGTAGATAAAAGCCGCGTCGCTAAATTTTAGTTACGAACCATGTTTAATCCGTCACTAATATAGCTACGGAATAATTCGTCACTAGTGATAACGATGACGTCGCTAACCCTGGTCAACAAAATGAAGCTGCTTTGACTTTCAGCGATAGATTAAAATCCGTCGCTACATTTTTTTTTTCTATTGAATATATTTGTCACTAGTTCCATTTCTAAATCCGTAGCTAATTGAGACCCCATATATATATATATATATATATATATATATATATATATATATATATATATATATATATATATATATATATATATATATATATATATATATATATATATATATATATATATATATATATATATATATATATATATATATATATATATATATATATATATATATATATATATATATATATACAAAAACTCAATATATATTCAATAAGCTAGAAATATTAAAATATTATAGAATGCATTCCGATAATCTTTCAAAAGTTTTCTACATAGTCAAAATAAAACAAATTCAGTCATATCCTATAAATTCTTTGACGAGTTTTGCTCGTATTCAGCCCTATCCAGTAAATTCATTGTCGCTCTACATCTTCAACACTTAACATCTTCAGCAGATCCTACTCGTTGACTTTGATGCATTGCTTGAATGACAACCTGAAAAGAATTAAAGATAATACTACAATCAGAAATGAGCATAATTTAAAGATACGAAGAATTACAAATAATTCATCGATATTCTACCTAGAAAGTCAAACATGTAGTACATAGACACGTATTAACGATTTGAATATCTCAATGCTGAATGCGTAACTCACTTTCTTTACAACAAAACCAACGAAAATAGGTAGACACTTACTTGGCCATAAAATAACTGCGATGAATCATCAAATCTTGATCATTCTCACAAACCATGTTTACAATTTATCCAAGCAA